TGTGTATGTGTATGTGTATGTATGTGTATGTGTGTGTGAGAGAGTGTGGGGGAAATATTGTGAAATGGCAAATAAAAGCAAAAACTGGCATATTCAATAAATTGAGGTCTGGAACGTTTACTTTAAAATAAAATAAATCTGAGGAACAGATAACAAGTTGTATAACTGAGTAAATATTAGGATTTTTCTTCCTAATAAATGGAGTATCCACACATAGAATGAGTCAGCTTCTGAGCCTGGGATCTAATAAATAGCACTCATAGGCTGCTGTCAAACAAAGGTGGCATTCACATAAGCCATCTTCCCAAAGCAATGAGCTAGCTGCCTTACTGACAAACTGAGTCTTCCAAAGAGGATCAGGAGGTGTTGATACATCCCATATCCAAATTACAAATGTAGATTCAGAGAAATACTCAAGAGCCAGACAGCATGGATTTCAGTGTCAACTGATTATTAACTGAATACTATCAGAAGGCTATTTAACTGCTCTGTGATTCTGTATCCTCATCTGTAAAGTGAGGATAATAATAGAATACACCTTAAAAAATCACTGTGAAGGTTTTTTTAAAATAAATAATATAATATTTTATTTTTACATCATTTTGTGCCTTTTGCCATCTCAGCTGTAATCCCTGTGGGCTTTCCATCACCAAAGCACGTGTGTGCCATCACCATAGTCCAGTGCATTTCCCTCCCCACACTGGTTTTTGATCCCATTCCCCATTCTAATCCACTGTGGAGATTTTAAAGTAGTCAATACATACAAAATGACTAGGATGATGCTGGGACAATTATCATCATTCAATATATCCAACACATATTTGCCTCCCTATACCAGAGATAAAGGACTTTCATGGAACCCTCCTAGTCTGGCCAGTGTCACTTCTATTCAAAGGGGAAAATTAATGCCCTTTGCCATTAAGTTGACAAGCAAAAATCAAAATCAAAAACCATAAGATTCTATTACCAAAGACAAAGCAAGGCAAATGTGACCTAGCTTTTCATTTAATAATGATTTCTAGGAGTCTGAGAAGTATGGTTCTATAAAATAGTGAAACTAGAATGTATTGTTTTGTTGATGGTCTTTATCTAATAATTTTTAACCAAATGCATTTCACAGGTGTTGAAATAAGGGATGTGGAGAAGTGCCTTGGGTTTGATGTGAACATAAACCTAGGTGTTCCTATTGAAATTGGACAAAAAATTGATGGCAATACTTGTTCAAAGATTGGTGTAGGTGAAATCGGTAAGTAAGGGCAATTTATTAAGTTAAAAATTTAGTGGGAGGAGATACCAATGAGCCCTGCCCTGTTAATTTAAAGCCTTCTTATTATCAACCCTCTTTATTTAAAATGGAGATGCTTAAAAACTATTTTACCTTAGAGTGGTTTCTAAACCACTATAGATACAAGTAACTCATGGACACTTAGTAATCACCAGATAGTGGAATGCTCAGTTGTAGAGGGTATAATTCAATATAGTGTATAATTCAATATATTGTAGATTTGTATATTTATTGTGGCAATGGCAAAAGGTAAAGGGTGGAAAAATATCCTAGAGAAAAGTTTCCTATTTTCTTCTAAATTTAACAAAGCTTCTGTAGTATTATATAACTATTTAAAAATGCAAAGTCATTTTCCCATTACAACCTATTACTGACTTAAAAACCCTAATTTATCCTTAACATTTAGTCAGTGTATAATCTTTTTAAATATATAAATACCTTTAGTGTAAATATTAATTCTGTTGTTTATCTTTATCAGATGTATATGAGTTTTCAACATCTACTCTAAATCTATTTGAAAACAGTTTTAATAATACAGTTCCCTACAGTTACTCCTTTATGATATTGGAGCAGAAAACATATTTAGAAGCATATCAACCACTAGAGTGTGGTCATGGTTAGAAATCACTGATGAAATGAAAAAAAAAAGCTAAATTTGTCATTTAATGTCATTTCCATGCTTCAGTCTTAAAACAAATTGTATAACTTCAGCTAGTTACTCTACCTTTTTGAGTTACAGATTCTCATCAGTAAAACTTAGGGAGAACAAAACAAATTCATCTTGAAATTTCTTTCCAGTTCTAAACATTTGCAGTGATTCACAGACATTTGTTAATAGAGTTTCATGTGGACAGAGATACTAGAAGATGGTTAGAAATTGGGAATGGAAAAAAATTGCTTTTCACTTCTTTTTGTGCTCTGATTTTTTTTTAAGATTTATTTATTTATGCATACAGAACTGGGGTATAAGTCAGAGGTGTGGGTGGTGAGAGGATTCACTAAAGACAGAGTGGGGAGCAGAACAGGCCCACTGATGAAGCACACTGCTGAGGGGAGCAGGGGAGTGTCAGGAGAGATCTGCTGCTACACCATGTGGGTCACCTCTGGGGGCGGGGGTTGAACTCATGCTGAAGTGCTGTGCTTTAACCTACTGCACCACCAAGGAGGGCCCTGTGCTCTGATTTTTATGATTAAAATAACTTAAAGCAAACATGCATGAAACATAATTATGAAAGTAAGTATGTGATAAAAAAACATGTAGTACCTGTCTATGCATGTTGACTAAAACTAAATTATTAATGTATCTCTATCATACCATTAATTTTTTTAAAAAGATGATTGAAATCTATAACTTTCTAATAATAAAAATCGCAGGGTTGAGTTTAAAATATTCCTTATCAGGAGCCTGCCTGGTGGCACAAAGGGTTAAGTACGGCATATGAAGTTGCCCACAGGTGCTACAGCACCAGTTCAATCCTCAGCCAGGGAGGTGACACCACAGGGCACACTGCAGACCTCTCTTGTGTCCCCGCTGCTCCCCTCAGCAGTGTACTTCATCAATCTGCCTATTCTGCTCCCACTCTTTCTCTAGTGAATCCTCTCACTGCCCTCACACATCTGACCTGCACCCCAATGTTATTTATCAAAGATAAGTAAGGCTCATCAGTAAAATTCAATAAGTATACTACACTATACTAATGGGGTTTTTAAAATATTGTCACTGAACTATCAGTAATTAACTTACAGCCTCCTTCTCTTCTCAGGAAACATCACCAGGGATGGCCTCATAGATGATGTTATCACCCTCATAAGAGGAGGAACCAACCAATATGCAAATGAACTGAAAATGAAGCTTCTCAAAGGTGCCCAAACAGTGGATGTGACTGACTTTGTAAACTGGGCCACTTCCTTAAGCCATGCTCCTGTACTCATAAAACAAAGGGTAAGGAATGTTTTTCTTTTCTTTCCTCCCCTACCCCTATCCCTTATACCTCTTTCCTCTTTTTTCCTTCTTCCTCTCAATCGTACAAATCTTGCTTTGTTCTTAATATTTACTGGTTTCCATAAGTATTTTCCTTTGTTTAGTTACCTTCTATATAAATACCCACTGTAAACTCCTTCCAATGCTGTATCTTTCCTTGTGATTGAACAACATTCCATCATTTGTCATCAATTTTTTATTAGGATGCACTTAGGTTAATTCCATTCCCTGGCTACTATAAATAGCTGGAATAAACATTTAGAACATAAAACATAGCTAGCTCTCCTTTTTTTTTTTTTAAGATTTATTTATTTATGCATACAAGAATTGGGTATAGGCCAGAGGTGCAGGAGATGAGAGTATTTACCAGAGAGAGTGGGGAGCAAAACTGGCAGTTTGACTGAAGTACACTGCTGAGGGGAGCAGTGGCTGAGACAGGGGAGGTCTGCTGCACCATGTGGGTCACCTCCCTGGCTGGGGATTGCAATCATGCTGCAGTAGCTCATGCAGCAGTGGCTGACAGCTTGCTAGTGCTGTCTTTAAACCCTGTGCCACCATGGTGGCCCTCTCCTTCTTAATTAATAAATGATGGGTTAAACCTCTTCCAACTCAATCTAAACTATAAAACTGACTTATATTTCTGTTGCAAATAGTGAATCTTGGCAGAAACACTACAGTGTATCACTTTAAATTAAAACTATATGAAGATATTACTGAAGGTGTTTTAGGAAAACATTTTTTTTAATACTCAAGTATCTATCGCCATAGTTTATTAAGAGAAATCTGTGGCCTTGATTCTGCCTCCGATGTGGGCTTCAGCAGACCTCAGCCATTTCTTGAGGAATGTCCAAGATTTTTCCCTCAATCCTTCTCTATGCAGGAAAGGATACTAATTCTGTTTACAACTTGCCTAAATGTTAACGTAAACAATTCTACATTTCATCTCAACAGAATAGCTGAACTTTGGTTTCATCTGTAGTTTACTACCACAAATTAGTTATAAAAATGTCAGGTGAGGGAAATTACATTTATTAATGATTGCCTGAGAAACATAAAGTATAGTATTTTTTCTAGAGCAACAACAGTAGAGATCGGGTAGGTAGAATTAGCATATTGACATCTTCTAAAGTTTTTGACTGCATTTAAGACAAAGAGTTATGTAATCCACTGCTTCCTTTACTAAAAGGATGTTACATAATATAATGTCCCCTTTATGAGGGCTCATGGGATATATTATTATTTATTCTCAGTTTCAAGGGTCATTTGTTTCTCTTAGGAATCAGGTAAGTTTTTCTTCCCTACAGGTGAGCATTAAGTAATTGTTTTATTCAGCATACTAGAAAATGTAACCAAATTTATGACCCACCTCATGCAAATAGATGAGTCCTGTTGGTGTGAATTTTGTGTATTTGTGTTGTTTTGGCTTTTATCTGGCTTTTCCCATCTTCATTTCCTCAGCTTCTCTCATTCATACACATGTCAAGTTACTTTAAGCTCTTCTTAAAGAGAAAGAAGCATGGGAAATGATAAAGTTAAAATGGACAATAAACTAATTAACCTACCATTTCATAATGTTGTGAAACTCTTCAAGTTTTAAACTCTTAGCATGTTTTAAAAAGTTTTATTTTATTTTTTAAAAAATTTAGCATTTTAAAGAACTACAGTATCAGGATTCTGGGTTTTAATTGTTAAAGTTATAACAGCAGTGAAAATCATTCCCAATCTGTTAGACAGGGATAAAAATACACTCATCCTATTAAGAAACTTACATTTGGTCCATATAGTTTAATAACTTCAGAAGCCTACAATAAATGTAGGTATAGTTAATGTGAAAAGATATTGCCAATTCATTCATATTTTACCAAATTTCATGATAAATTATCCCCTGAAAATAAAACTACAAATGATAAAAAGATAAGAAAGCTGGTGGTATAGAACAGCTATCCTTCATGGAAAGGCTGGAAAGTCCATCAGAATAAAAGAAGAGACTGTTCAGGAAAACTTCAATAAATACATTTTTATTGTTCTTTATCTTGTCATGGAATTTTTGATGCAGGATTTGAGGCTCCTCTGAAATAATTGTCATTGCGTGTCCTTCATCTTTATCTCTTTGAACACGGTTTATGCATTTCATCCAAGTTGCATTTTCTCCATGACCCTCTATTCCTGTATCTTAGATTATCTGGCCTTGACTTTCCTTTGAAGGGTAAAACAAAATTAATTTCTTGCCATAAAAATCAAAATAATTCCACCACATGCTTATTTTGTTTGTGCCAATATAGCAACGTCAGTAAGAGGTTTCTTTCTTTTAAATAATATGACATAGTTGAAATCTGAATCTGACATGCTAATTCACAATAGACAACATTAGTGGACATTTGTGATGACTTTGTAAAAGTCCTTGATGTATTCTGGATAGGAGTCTTCTCTCACTGAAAAGTGTAAATGCCTTCTCTTACTTGAAGGCTTTGTCTTAATGGTATTTTCATTAACAGATGTACTTTTTTTTTAAAAGATTTATTTATTTGTGCATACAGAACTGGGGTACAGGCCAGAGGCTCAGGGGCGGCGAGAGGCTTCACCAGAGACAAGAGTAGGGAGCAGAACAGGCAGATTGACGAAGTACACTGCTGAGGGGAGCAGCGTGCAGGCCAGGAGAGGTCTGCCACACCATGTGGTCGCCTCCGGGGCAGGCGGGAATCGAACTCATGCGGAAGTGGCTTTAGCTTTTTAGTGCTGTGCTTTAACCCACTGCACCACTAGGGAGGGCCCAGATGTACTTTTTTAACTTTTTATTTTAAAATAATTTTACTTACAGTAAAATTGCAAAAATAGTAGACTGTAAAACTGCAGAAATAATAGTTCACATATACCCAGAAGTCCATGTTAATAACTTACAAAACCATTGTATAACTATAATAATTAGAAATGTTACAAGGCAGGGAGAAGGGCACCCCTGAGCTCCCAAACCTGCCTGCTCTTACCTGCCAATCACTGCATCAAAACAAGACATAAGACCTCTAATGGAAAGGGACTTTAATACAACTAGTGTGCAGTGCAGAAAAGGCAAAGAATATAGTTTCTAAATCAAACAACCAAAGTTACACAAAAGGGACTGGCTCAAAGCAAGGCCTGAAGCCTGTCACAAGTCTAAAGCACTTTCTGTTGGGGACCCATAGAAAAGGGTCATCAATGGCCAGACAAGTCTGGGAGGAAAAGAGCAGAATCAAAATCAAGATAAACACTGCCATAGTCAACCTCCCCACAGGTCTCTCGTCCACATCTGTTTCGACAGGTCCAGGACCAAGAAGAAGCAGGCACAGTTTCTTCACATGTCTCTCTGCTCCATGCACCTCCCTCAGGTCTCCTTCTTTCTCAGCATCCTGCTTCTTTTCTCCTTGGTCGCCTCTCCAGACTCTTTTCTGCTCAGCTCCACCTTCCTTCTGGGTGGGGCAGGGAACCTGGAACATCCTCCTTTCCTGGGGACCCTCCTGTTACAGAAACTTAAATTGGCTATGCCATACCTCTTCAATTTCACCAGATTTCTCCTCATGTATTTTTTATTCTAGGGTCCAATTAGAATTCAATATCACATTTAGTTGCCATGCCTCCTCATTCTTTAGACTCTCTTTCCTCTTCTGAACCCTGAGCTTTGTTGTATGTTGGTGAGTTATTGTGTCAAATGTCTCTCAATTTAGCATAAAGAGTAGACTGAGGTTGGCATTTGTGGAAGAATATCAAAGAAGTAATGGTTAGCCCTCAAGTAAATAAGGAATTAAGATGTTGATTGTTTTATCTTAAAGTCATCAGTATATATATAGTAATTCCCATTATAGTTACTGCTTCTATGTCCTCTTTAAAATATTTCACTACCTCAAGCTCTTGAAGACCCTCTACATATTATCTTCCAGAGCTTTATTTCTTTGTTTTCAACCTAAAGTGGTTTTATGTGCATGGTATAAACTAGACGGTCACTTTTATTATTTTTTAAGATTTATTTATTTATGCATCCAGAACTTGGGTACATGGCAGAGGTGACGGCTCAGTGCGAGGATTCACCAGAGACAGAGTGAGGAGCAGAACAGGCGGACCTACTGAGTACACTGCTGAGGGGAGCAGCGAGTGGGTCAGGAGAGGTCTGCCACTCCATGTTGGTCACCCGGGGGCGGGGAGTGCCAGGATCGAAATCTTGCGGAAGTGGCTTTAGCTGCTTTAGTGCTATACTTTAACCCGCTGCGCCACCAAGGAGAGCCCATCAAACAGGCTTTTAATATTAGTTTTCTTTTGTTCATCTTTACTCACTATCATCAAATAGTTGAAATTATTTAATCCATCAATCCCCTTTTGCAGCAATTAGTGGTATATTTTTTAATCTATTCTTTCCTGAATCTTTATTCCAATTTCCTTGAAATTTTGTGTTCTCTTGTTGCAAAGTGCTGAGCCTGCAGCCCAAAGGGCCTTAATGTCTAACAATTTTTGTATTCAAAAAACGTTATTGTCATCAGTGAAATTTGCTTAAATTAAAAAATACACGCTACAAGTTTTCTATGTAGTTTTAGTCTATCCACTACCACCACCTTTGGTGGTGGTAGTGGATAGAAACAAGGCATGCTCTTGTTTCTGCCTTCATCTCCTCTAATCTCTGCTAATAATCATTTTCTCAGGAAAGCCTTTCCAAATTTCCATGATTCCTCTGTATCATAGCTTCCTCTATGAATTTGTATGAATAAAGATTATCTTACTTCATTCTCTTTAAATAAATGTAACATTGAGATCCCATCCTTCCCTGCTACTGGAAATTTATCATTCATTTTTTTTTTTTTTAAGATTTATTTATTTATTCATACAGAACTGGGGTACAGGCCAGAGGCTCAGGGGCGGTGAGAGGCTTCACCAGAGACAGAGTGGGGAGCAGAACAGGCAGATCGATGAAGTACACTGCTGAGGGAAGCAGCGGGCGAGCCAGGAGAGGTCTGGCTCGCCATGTGGTCTCCTCCGGGGCAGGCGGCAGGCGGGAATCGAACTCATGCGGAAGTGGCTTCAGATTCTCAGTGCTGTGCTTTAACCCGCTGCGCCACCAGGGAGGGCCTATCATTCATTTTTAAGATGAGGTTGAGGGGTGCCTTCCTGGTTTACCGAAATCGATTTAAAAATCCTGATGGACCAGACATGGGGGGGAGGGGCATGTAAGAACAAGAGGGAATGAGACACAATGGAGTATGGAGGGGGGCGATGGGGGGTTCAGTGGTGGGTGCACTATAGTTGTAATACCTGATGGGGGAATCCTCATATTACTTCAAACAATAATAAATACGTGAATTTATTAAAAAGAAAAAAGAAGCCTTGAGGCTTCGGTCTGAGAAATGGAGATCCTGTATGTGTATGTATGTAGCCCATGGTCATCACCCTGATAACCTCATAGTTCAAGCTCACATGTTCACTTGAAGTCAAGTAGTTCCAAATCTTCATGCCAAGACTGTGCGCAGGAAACACTCACAAGACGGGGGCCTGGGCCCTTGATCCCCAGCTTCCTGGGGGGACACCACAGTTCTTGCCACTTCCAAAAATAGCTGTTAGTCATGGTTTCCTGCTACTTGAGATACATACGAATATGTATCCCCTTCCTGGACTGGAGGAATTCCCTCCCTCACCACCACCCCCACTTCTTCTCATACTCCTCCTAGTAAAAACTTCTTAGAAAATTCAAGCCTTTAAAGGGAAAAGAGGAAAGAATTAGGTCCAGGGGTGTTCTGGACCTAATCTTGCACAAAAGCCACCCCTTAGACAGAAGATAGAAAGCAAGCACCTGACAACCTTCGGAAAGTGTGGAAGAGGCAATAAGACAGCAAAAACAAATCACAAAATGATAGTCACTAAATTATCCTGCCAAAAGTTTAGATTCCTTATTTCAATTTTTCAACACATATACCTCTCCTCGCTGTTTCCATTTTAAATTTATCTGTATGATTATTTTAACATCAGTCTCTTTCCACCCACAATGTGATCTCCATGATCCCAGAGATTGTTAGTTCTGAGCATTAACACAGTCTTTAAAGCTAATATCAATTTGGAAAAATAATCATTCAGTAAATACTTGTTGAACTGATGCATCAGTCAACAGACCTAAAATGAAATGTTTTGTTTTCTTGTAGCTATCTCCTATATCTAATCTGATTCCAGTGAAAATGAAAGATGCACACCTAAAGAAACAAAACTTAGAAAGAGCCATTGAAGACTATGTCAATGAATTCAGTGTAAGAAAATGCCAGCCATGCCGAAATGGGGGCACATTGATTCTGATGGATGGAGCGTGTCTGTGTACCTGCTCAATATTTTTTGAAGGCTTAGCCTGTGAGATCAGTAAAAAAATAATTTAAGGTGAGAACTGTTCATTTGAATTAACTAATAATGAAAACACGCATTTTGCAGCTACAGCTACTTAGTTTGAAAACTGCCTCTTCGTTTAATTTGTATTTCTAGATTATCAATGTAAAGAGACTAAACCTTAAATGAATAGCAAACATGGACAAATTAGTCTTCATGTGCCATTTACATGTAGTTTTAACATTTTGTATCTCAAAATTTAAACTGAATTATTAAAAAATAATAAACTGCTGCAATTGTATTTTTTCTTATGAATTTTATTTTTATTGTGAAGTAACGGGTAGGTTGGGAAATGTTACCGGGGGTATGTCCATTTGTAATTGCATTATTTTAACTCTAAATACATTTATACAAAGAGAAAAGTTTATAGAATAGTAATAAGCATCCAAGTACTCAACATCCAAAATTAGCATACATCAAACACATGTACATCATGTATGCTTCATAAATGTATATGCACACTGCGCATATGCATAGATACTTAAGAACCTCTTTTTAAGAAAAACAATTAGAGACAAGGTAGAGTAGTTTGTATGACTCTTCCTCCCTCCAGAAAGCCCTGGTACACTCTTCCCCCGACACTACTCAGGTGCAATCACTTCCCTTACCTATTATCTGTGCAATTCATGTTTTTGTGTTTGTACTAAATATCTGTATACTAATAAAAATTCTGTATTGCTTGGAATGTTTTTAAGATTTACATAAATGATATATACCAAATTTTAATTTTGCTGTTTTAACTTTCCTAATGTTTATGCCCTGTGTTTTACAGATAGTTATTTGAAATCATATTTTACACATAGGAAAAACTTCAGCTATGTTTCTAATCATCAGCAGATGATTAGAATCATAGTCTTTGACCTGAAAAAATGAATCCTAGCAGATATATGAGAGCTTAACTCTATTTCTAATTTTCCAGTTCTCTTTTTAACCCGAGTTATTCCTTACAAACTATGTAGCAAGATAAACTTCCTATGAAAATCCAAATTTGCTTTTCTCACTGAACAAACACAAATTCCTGTAAGAAAATTTCAAAAATAACTCTACATTTCCTTTTAAAAGATTCAGTCTCAAGTTTTGTGTTCAACCATATTCAACTCTTCTAACAATTTAAATGTTACAAGACTGATTTTGACCCTTCCTAGTAAACAAGTTAGATTATGGTAGATATAGTAACGGTCTACATAAACTAAGATTTGACTTATTGTTAGAATAACTGACTGATAAATATATATTAATTCTAACTCTTACCTCTCTTAAGTGTCCATCGTTGGAAACTTTACATTCCAAATAGCAATTGTGCAATCCAAAATTTCATGGCACTGGTACTCAAAACCTTTATGTCCTTGCCTGTTATGAATATTCTACTCTCTGTGTTCTTCAACTCTATTTCTAATTTTCCAATTCTTTTTTTACCTGCTACTTTTAGTGAAAATATTGAGAAATTTCATTCAGTTATTTTTCTGAAATCACTGTTTATTTTTCCATTTTTACTATTTTTCTTTCTTTGTCTAATGGATGGTTTTTCTACTTTTATCATCTTTAACAAATGAAATATGTTCACATGGAAGTCTCTCTCAAATTGATCCAGAAGATAACATTTCTGTAGCACAATTCTCTGCATTAAATCTGTTCACTCATTCTCCTGACATTATTTTCTTCCTTGAGTACTTAGCAATTTTTTATTGCAGGCTTAGTCTTCAGAGGAAATTGTACCCTGTGGGGATCCTGGTTCCTTCGGGTAGTGAAGGTATGCCTTGGCTTAGCTGCTTCTTGGGAGGTCCTGATGTTGTCATCAGATTTTTATGTAAGTTACTGATTCATGGCCTACATCTTGTGTCTCTAGGATAATAAAAACCAAGTGCCTTGTCCCTTTTTATATGATGTTTTATTAGTACACCGGTGTCTCTAGTTGGCTGCTCACACCTGATCTGGGCTGGCCTTCCCGTTGCTTGCTGAGACCCAAGACCCTGGGGAAACTTTCTTGCCAAATCTTCTCTTCAAAGAAGCACTTCATGGCATCCAATTTCATCAGAATGTTCCATTCCAGCTTCCCACTTACACTGGATGGACTCAGTGTATCATGGGACTGAAAACCCTGAGACATCATTGGCTTTCTCTTCACTGCCCTGCAACCTTCTCCCCCTTCAACCAATCCAACCATCCTTGCTTTCCTTCACCAGATTGTTTCTACTCCTTCCAGAACAGTGGTTCTCAGCCTGACTGTTCATTAAATTTTCCTGATTAACTTTTTCAAAAGGCCAAAAGCAAAAAGAAAACAGATGCCATCCCAAGCCAATCAAACCAGACCCTTTGGGGTGGGTTCTGCCAGAACATAGTTATTTGTCCCTTTTTCTCCTCTATTTTTATCCTCTAATCTATAGTCAGGATTGTAAACTCCTGTTCTGGACCTAGGCCAACTAAGCACTCTTGGGTGAAGTCCCACCGATTTTCCTGGAGCATTTTGCCTTCTTTTCCTCAGCACTAAGCACAGCCACTCTTCCTACACAAGGCGAATGACCCCGCTGGTTTGGAAATAAGGCTTCTATCATAAGCCTCATTCCATTCACAGCCCCAAGACAGTATCTGACACATCACAGTGCAGCGGGCAAGGGTTGAATACATGGCATAATGGCTGGATGCAAGCTGAGGTCCTATTAGTCATGTAGGATTGATAATCTGTTGCTTTTGCTAGTATTGCCTGCCAAAAAGAAAATAGATTTGTTGGCTTCCCTGGGATCCTATGGAAGGAAAAACACCAGGACTTTCCAATCTAGATTTGCCCCTGGAGATAGTCCTTGCTGCCAAATGGAAAGCAACATATTTCATAAAAATCTCACCGAAGTCTGAAGTCTCCTAGGTCTAAGATCCAGAATGTTTCTTTTCCTTCTTAAACGCCTCTGATGTTTCCATTTGTTATGCCCTAATGAGGAGAGTCAGCAGTGAAATATGCCAGCACTGTGTTCTCCCACAGGCAATGCCAATCTCTAGCTAACAAAACAAAATTAAATTAAAAAGAGAATGTTGGTTAAAAAGACTTTAAAGTAATTGCCAAAGTGCTTTGTATGATTAATATGTTCCACCAGCTCCATTGCCATAAGTCTGGACCAGGAGGTTTCGCTCTTGTTTACATAATTGTTCTTGTTTGGTTGTTCGCCTATAGGTGCATGCTTTGGCTGGGTCAGTGCTGGGAACCTCCTATAGGCTTTCAGTTCAATTCATCCTCTCCAAGGGGAAATACGCATTGTATTTGTAATCAAAACCTATCAGTTTCAATTACGTGAAATTGCTACTATTTGGTCATATTTTACAAAACAGAAAACAAACAAATAAAAGAAAAAACCCAAAGCCCAAAGAGTTCACAGATCAGATCCCACTTAATAGCTAGTCTTATAATTGGTATAAAGTAAGGCTGCCCACAGAAGTTTCTGGGAACTGGCTCTACAACTTTGCTCTTTAGAGAATACATATTTAACACCCTAGAACTTTTGAAAGGTTTTTGGGACAAAGTGGTAAGAAATGCTCAGATACAGAGAAGAAAATGTAAAATCAAAACATTTTCTGTTAAATGTCAACAGCTTTATCACTTGGTCAACTTTGGTAGCTGTTAGTCTTATTATTAATAAGAATTTCATACATTTATGAATACTTTTTAAGTTAGGTTTTCTCACTTCCCCGGAGTTCTCAAGAATACACATGATTGCTGAAGAAACACAGTAGCTAAACTATTGACTGGCAAATAATTTAAAAAGCAAAACTTTCAAAAAATAATTCTCAGGTTTTTTTTTAACCACAAATAAAAGGTTACTGAATGTTCTGTGCATGTTAACATGTTAGGTATGATACGGAGTTCTAAAAATAAAAGGTGCTTTATGGCATTAGACTAGCCCTGAGGGCTCAGGAGAATGCCCATTTCCTGCCCCCAAAAATCTGAGTAAATCAAAAAAATAATTAGAATTTGTTATATCAGAGCAAAAACTGAACTCTGCTCTTAAATAATCAATTGTTGAGCTTTGATACAGAGCATCTGAGTGGAAGAGGAGTTATAGTAACTACTGACAATTTCTTACCCTTGAAATCATAAAGTCAAACAAGAAAAGAACTGAAGTTTGACCAGACCTCAAAGAGGCAGCCTAATGATTTACTGAGATCCCCTATACTGAAAATGGGGGGTAAAATGCCAGTCCACTGTTGACAAGAAGGCCTCGGACACCCTTCAAAGCAGCCTAATTGGTAGGCACTTCCAGCAGGGGCACTATTGAAACACCAGCAACTGACCAACCGGAAGCTGCAGGAGGAGAAAGCCCTAGGCCTGAAATGGGAAGAATTCCAGAAAACAAAGGGGTGAGGACTTATGGCTACTTGGCTTATAAGCACAGTTTACTTGCGGCTGGCAAAAAGCAGGCTCCTGATAAGGAAAGTCTTAATGTCGTTTGGCAAGTAGAGCATGGTATCATCATTCCCCAAGGTCACATGGTTTCTGAGGGTACAACCCACTATTTCAAAAAACAGAACATGTGGGGAAAACAGGCCTCTAAATAAATCTCGGCAGTGACATTGAGGTCATTTCATTGAGCCTCAGCCTTTATCAAAAGGACCTGGAGGGTCAGGAGAGGCTTCACGTCCCCCTGAGATCAATCGCAAAGAATCTTACAAGTATTTCTACATTTAGGAAGTTTCCCATTTAATACTTAAAACTCAATGTGCCTATTCATTCTATGGATTCATTGGTAAGTAATCAAATATATCTACCATAAATGTTTAAAGTCTAGCTCACTACAGTCACCCTGGTGTCTTCAAGACCACTTCATGGTGTAGCCAGCTAGACTTTGCACACAGCAGTGCCACACCAGCAGCTCCTACATTAATTGGGCCATGATTGTTTATGAAGAGAGGTCCACAATGATAGATAAGATACAAGGCTCAGCTTAGTCTATATATAGAAAAAAAAAAAAAAAAGCATTCCTTTCTCTGCAACACACAGACACACTAA